GACTAAGATGAGAAATTGATATGAAAACAGAAGTTAAGAAAAAACTTAGATATCGAACGTCAATATGTGGGCTGAAATATTCTAGTGCAGAATGTGCGGTGATACTTGGGAGAATGGTAGTGATGCTTCAGGTTGCATAGTTAGGAAATTTATCAATGATCTGAGCAATGGTTGGCTTCTCAAGAGGGAATCTGTTTTAGGGAGTTAGTTATTGGTCAAAAATTTTACCCAAGTCACACAGGATTTTGAAGATTCTAATGCATTAGTATATTATACAGTTGTTTAACTGTTAAGTATTGAAAATCACTGCTTACTGGTACTGCCCTCTTCCGCGGGTCTGCGAGAGACAGCGTGTACTCACTGTGGTTTCCAGTATTAATTCCGCATATGGCCGGGGCAGGATTACCACCGGCTACAATAAACTGATCACTGTTGCACATGTGATCAATTGGCTCTGGGCCTGCGATATTGAATTGATCAAAGTCCAACCTGAAATCAGGAAAGAGAATATTCTGGCAACTACAAGCGGTGAATATGATAAAGATAATTGTCCTGTTACATGTGGATTGTGGGCTTTTATGTTATTGTAGGCAGTTTGGGAGTCGATATTGTTGTGATTTAAAGAATCGCTGTCTTGGTACATAACGTGGAAGTTCTTGGAGGAGAAGAGTTATTGCTACTACTCATTCTTTATCTTGACAGTAGATGGGGCGGGTGGTCTACATAATGCCTGAGCCAGTCTTTACTTCTGGGCAAAGGACCCCTGTTACCCATTGGGTAGGATGCTGGGTAGACCCCCCAGAGCCAATCTGGACTGTTGGTGTGATTGAGACTATGATTCAGTGGAAGTTGACCTCTGATGGTCGCTTTACCCATCCTCCAGATGATGGCATGTGTAAATATGGAGCAGTGGTTAAATGATATTGACAGGGTACGACTGAATAACTGTCCCAGTGCCACTTTGTCCATCGCCAATTGAATTCTGGGCCTCTGGCGAGAAAACGTTGACTTTCTGCCTGAGCTATGGCATGTATTATTGTAGGCATTTACCAACATTTCAGAGGATACACAGGTAACCATACATCTCTTTTATGGGCACCCAAATGGGTAAGAGCACAGAGGCCAGGTACTTCTACCAGCAAAATTTTCTGTAGCGATAACATCAAAATAGACATTTTGAGCACTGGATATGAAAATTATGTTTCAGTATGCGTAGATAGCAGCAAAGGAGCTGGGTCAGAAATTTTGGAAATAAAATGGCGTCCGTAATGAAGAAAGTCGACTCTTCCAGACTTATCTTCATATTAGTTTGTTCATTGTTTTGGTGTAGAACTCACCCATTCATGTGTATTTACATTAAAGACTCACTGTCAGTTTTCAACGTACCTGAACTGACAGATGTCAGGATGTGGATTTGTGCCAGATATTTTAAGTTATACTTTCTGTGTATTTACATTTTAAAGACTCACTGTCAGTTTTCAACCTACCTGAACTGACAGATGTCAGGATGTGCCTTGTTGATAGTAAGTTGACAGGATCCCGTACCATCATAGGGTCCCGGGTAACCTTGGTTTACGAAGTAGGTGCAGTTCTCCTTGGTATTCTGACCACATGTGGCTAAAACTGTGCCCAGCACCCAGATATTAGACAGCAAATAACATTAAATTCTCTGCTCTCTTACAGTTAATACAATTTAAATAATATTTTAAGGATCTTCTGATGTATAAAAGTCACCACCTTGTCCACTGTGCCTCAGATTTTGTTATTTCCCACGTTGTCGTTCGTTTAGACAGCCTCAGATCAGACTGACGTGTGTTACCACATATGACTCATCATGTACGTGTAATCAACTGATACTCGGTGAGATGCAAGGATAAATTTTGTATGTGTATGCAGTCTTATACCGCCACGGTGGTCTAGCGGTTAGAACGCTGGCCTTGTAATCCTGGAGTCTCGGGTTCGATTCCCGGCGGTGCCCGAATTTATAACTTGTGTTGGGCAAGGCCGTGATCTAGGCAACACGGAGTTTTCCTCCGTGGCATCCCAACAATTACTCCATTCACACACAGAAGAAGGCAATGGCAAACCACTTCTGGAT